TCCCGTAGCACATTTCGTTGCCCTGATTGGACGACTACATAGAGCGCGCCAAGAGCTCTCAATTGGTGTATCCAATGCAGCGCTGTCGACACCTTAACATGTCAAATATTACGGCACAGCATGTTAATAGAACTTATCATGTAATTCATCACTATCAACGTGCATTTATTCGACATGGGAACGGGAAGGCGGGACCTGACAAACAAGGAGCGCGAAACCATCCTTTGTGAAGCCTTGCGAAAGAGTTATGGTGTCTACTCCGCAAGGCTTCCAAATGGTTTGGCTAATACCTAGCTAGCAAGTGCAACTGCCATGCTGCCACGATTCACAAAGTCCTTGCTCGTGCCAAGGACCAAGGAGTTGCGGAAGGCAGCATGAATGTGTCAGTCTCCTCCAGTCTGAAGAAAGGTAAAGTGGGCCGAAAGTTTGCCTTCATAGCCGCTCAAGTTATTGCAAGGCCACTTGACAATCGAACTACACTTCGAGCTATTTCAGCGCAAACTGGTATGATAGACAACCGAAGGAATGATATTCAACACATTAAACGGCATTGTATTGCACACATGTATAGGAATAAGTAGAGAATCACTGTACTACACCGGTACCTGGAGCTGGGCATGTTACGATCCCATTTCAATGCAATCAAGCCCGTGCTGACGGAGGCGAACAAGTACACTCGTATGGAGTTCGCCATGAGCTTCGTTCGGCCAGACATGCAGTTCAACGACCTTCTGAACTATGTCCACATTGATGAGAAATGGTTCTACCTTACAAAGACAATACGTACGTATTGCTTTGTACCTGGGGAGAGTGAGGCCGAACGCAAATGTATGAATAAGCGCTTTCTCACCAAAGTCATGTTCCTCACGGCGGTTGCTCGGCTGCGGTACGCGATGACTCCAAATCATGGTGGGATGGTACGATTGGCACTTGGCAGTCGTCGTTGAAGATTGGCCCTTGGCCGTTCGTGGAGACTGTCCTGGCCCAACGAACAAGCTAGAATCGAGTCGCGGGGACACCGAGACGAAGCCTATGGCGGTGACAAAGGAAGTGTACCGATGGTTCCTGGTTGACAAAGTCTTATCTGCGGTTGTTCAGAAGTAGCCATCTGTAGACAAGTCTATATTGATCCAACACGACCATGCGATAGCCTACATTGCGGCGTCGGATGCAAAACTGTGCTCGAGGTTAGCCGAGGTTAGCCCAGTACAGGGCACTTGACTGAACGTTCGAGCTTGCCCCACAGCCACCGAACTTCCCCGACACCAACATCCTCGACCTTGGCTTCTTTGCGTCGCTGCAATCACTACAGTATCAGAAGTCTGCACGGTTGATCGACGAGTTGGTGCTGCACGTACATGAGGCGTTCAACGTGTACCCTTACGATAGCCTTGACCGCACCTTCCTGACCCTGCAATGCTGCTTCGTCGAGATCCTCAAGACTGGAGGTGACAACACGTACAAGTTACCACACATGTCAAGATGGCAAGACACGGAAGCTTACCTCGAAACGTCGAAAGCCCGCGGGAGGTGTATGATGCTGGTCGCGATATGCTCACGGTAGTAGACAGTGACGCCATGGAGCGCCAATC